GTGAGGAGGAAGGCAGGCTGGGAGGGTCTGCAGAGCCACTGCTCCCTTCAAGGGTGACAGAGAGGAAGATGGATCCACAGGGTGAGGAGAGGACTGCAGGAGCACGTCCGTGTGTTTGGAGGAATTACAGTTCAGCAGTGGAAGTGACTGCACAGGCAAGACACACAAAGTCTCTCAGTGGCCAAGCACAGGAAACAGGTAGGAAGCAGACAAACACTGAAATTTCTCATGTTTCTCTTTCTGTGCATCCCTCAGCGCTCGGAGCGCCGCAACGTTCAAAGAAAAAACATCCAGCATTGCTTTCATCCAGAATATTGCTGGCTACAGCACAAAGGGTGCAAACCACCATGTATTCAGCACGGGACAGTCTCCTCTAAGCCCTATGGAAAGAATGGCATAGAACTGCAGCAAACGTGACTCAGCCAGAGCTCCCTCTTGGTCCAAAGCAGAGTGCGCTGTTGCAAATACTTTCTCGCTTTGGCTCAGCTCTGCTTTGCTCCCTTCCTACCTCACAACCCCAGGTACCGCACCTTCGTTCTTCCCCTGAAGCACATGACAAAATGACCAAGTTCCTGACTCTGTGTGGGAAGCCAGAAAGGTCACATCTTTCCAAACACGGCTGCAGGCACCCCAGCAAATAAATCTCATAGTACCGTGACGTTTCCAGCTCCAGTTTTGCAAAGGGAAACGAGAAACCCACAGAGCTCTTGGGAGAAGTAGAGAACAGAGGCTCAGCTTTCTTCTAATTTCTTCAGCTTCATGGACTGAGAAGCAGGCAGAAACAAGTCCCATTGACCAAGTGAGGGAAGCACAGTAGTCATCTAGTCATCTCTCAGCTGCTGGATGGCTTTGCTCTGAGCTTTCAAAAAACAAATCATGCCCAATTCCAGCAGAAAACTCATCCTTGTTCCCCCTGGGAGCTCAGACTCCCACTGAGGAGAGCTCAGGGGCAATTCTGAAATAAATCATTTGCTTCAGTCACCATTTATCACAAGCTCACAATGATGCACAAACTGTTCCCGAAGCAATCCAGCTGGACTTCAGCTCAACTAGTCTAGTCCTGTCACACGTCCTCTTGGGAACTTCGATCTTGTAAATGTGCCTCGAAAAATGCAGCTTATCAAAACAGCTGCTCTTCAAGTGGATGGAACGAAAGATGAGATGACCATGCTTGTTCTTCACTTCCTTTTTCATGCTCTTTCCTGATTCTTCTCCTTTGGGATCCCAAAATACTAATCCAGAATTCTCTCACCTTGGTAATGGTCTTTTCTATTCCTCCTACCACATCCCTGCAACTAAAATATCCCCTGTCCCTGAAAAGGCAACTCCCCTTTATTACCTAGGCTGCACAGTTTCCCAGGCTGCAGAGGTTTTACCCCCATAGCGATGTCCAAGGTATTGTTTTTATCCACAGTGCTTCTGAAAGTCTGGGTATCTCAGCTGTAATTTAAAGCCAGGCCTGACTCCGTTTTGTGATTTTTCACAGTGTCACTGACACATCACTGCTGTAATCTGGGAGGGGGGGAGGGGGGGAGTAGAGGGGGTGGTGTTGTTTGGAACCAACAAAAAACCTCAAAAAACAGACCTATGCATAGAGGCTAGAAAGAAAGAAAATATTTACCTGGAACAGGGAGCTGTCTACTTACTATTTTTGTTTGGGAAAAATCCATCCACCTGCAATCAGTCCTTCCAAGGTGAACTGTTCAGAAATAGACTTGCAGGCTCCCTCCCTACCCCAAGAAATTAATTCAGATTGAACAAAGGCATATAACCAGATTTATGTTTCAGAACTCTTAGAAATGAGAAGAAGCCACATCACCAGGAGTCACCCAGCTGACAGATGGAAGGAATAATCTCTCTCACTTCTGGGGCAAAGTACAAACTAAGCTGCAAAGCCCTCAGATATTACAGTAATAGGGACTGAATAATCACTTAGAGCAGTTATGCCAGTTATTAGTCTTTTAATAAAATTTAATTTACAATTAGCAATCCAAACCAGATTCAAATGTAGCCAACCACCTGTGATTTCCTAGCAGGAGGATCTTGGGTACCACCCTTATTCCAGGCAAGTCCTGCAGGGGGTCAACAGGAAAGAGAAGACTTCTATCGCTGAAGGACTAGCAGAGCCTCTAAGCCACTTCAGGTCAGGGCACCATCACCAGCTCTCCAAGGTCCATCTTCGGTATGAAGCATCTGTCCTTCCCACTGGGCAGCTGTAGCTGTTTGCTGGTTAACACTGTCCCTGTTCCACCAAGTCTCCAGCAGCCAAACCAAACAAAGGGACAAAGCAACTCCAGGTCCACCCGACAGACACATCAGATGAGTCACCTCTCTGCTTCTCAGTAAAACTCCCATCTAGCTCCCTTCATGTTCCTAGAGCAGGCTGGACATGCTCAACAGGACATCCGGCACATTTCTTGAGCTTTGACTCTCCTCTGCCAGGCAAAGGCCGCAAGTAAACTCCTGTTCCATTTCCACAGGCTGCACAAGGAGGTTCATGCAGCAACCAGCCAGGTGATACGGATGCTTCTGAACCAGAGGAGGGACGGGGTTCGTCTTCACTAGCTGTGTTCATATTCAGCAACCGTGCAGGGTGTGTTTTAGAAGCAGCACTTGGAGAAAGGACCTGGACTCCACCTAGCCACTGCCCTGCGGGCAGGCAGAGACACGCAGCAGGCAGAACAGTGTTACCCCCAATTCCTATTGCCCAGGAACCCACGCTGGCTCACCCTCCAACTCAAGGCACTTGTGCTCCAGGGAGCAAGAGCTGGGGAAGTACTCTACAACACACGAGAGTGAAGACCTTTTAGTAAATGTGTAACTAGGTACGAAATCACCCAGCCCTCACCCTGACAAGCGAGCAGTGCTTTTATTTTCAACAGCCAAGCTGCTCCCCAGATTCACCCAAGGGCTGTGCAGAAGCCACGTGGCATGAGCTGAATTACAGTAGGTGACACCAGCCCAGGTTCACAGAACTGATCAGTTATCCAGCTACTCTGAAATGAGTGTCTGCCAAGTCTCAGACTGCAAATACTAGAGGGTTTCATCCAAGAAAGCAATGCAAAGAGGTATCAACATCGACGATACACCCCTCCTAGTGAGAGGCCAACCTCTGCCAGCACGGTCTCAGTTCCCCAGATGTTGCCAGGACTGCAGTGTTTCTTGACAATTCAGTAACCAGTAATTCTCCCAGTGTTCAGAGACAACGTCAGCCACCCAGTGTAACGCGGAGGAGCTGAAACAGCAATTCATTTCATTCCTGAACACTTCGCTCATTGCCAGCCCCCTTGATTTCAGGTAAGGTCAGCAGATGCTCCAAAAGAATGGGACAAAGCTTTCGCACCATTGCAGTCCATCACAGGCAGTACATGCGCCAACCGTTTGCCATGACAAACAGAACAATGGGACAGGAAGGAGAGCAGAGGTAAGTCAAAATAGGGATAGCTAGCAATAAAGTTATAAAGCAGCTCATTACGTACAGCTACATCCTAAAGACTGGCTCACTGGTTTGGCTTTCCTTGGACCACTAGGGCTTGTTTAACAGAGCAAATGCTAGGATACTGGGAGATTTGTCTTGCAATGAATTTGTAGGTAGTGCTGCTGTTTCTACATGGACCACTGCCTTGAAAACTGGCCTTGGAGAAGCTATTCACCTCCAGCCTTGAACGAAATGGAGTCGCAGTAACTTTGTGAACTGAGGACAAAAAACCCCAATGTCCAATAATCGTATGATTTGCAGCAGGGGACCCTGCAGAGCAAGGGGGTCTTGAAGGCAGCTCACAAATTCCCTGCTAGCATACATCTGTCTCCTCTTTCTTAAGCTCAGAGAACGCCCACACATTTGGGATAGCCTGCCGGTAAGAGCCTAGTCCTCAATTTTCTGATTACAGGGAGAAGATTTGCTGGTCTGCACTCGGAAACTATATGGCTGAACGCCCCCCACCCCGTGAGCCACTGAGTGCCACCTACTGCATCCCAGTTCCAACAGATGGGAAGTGAAAAGCCTTTGCTCAGTTCTGATCCTTTTGGAGCTACACTATAGGCTCTGATGGCTAGGAAGAAGGGAAGAAAAAACCCTACTTTCTCTGTGTTTTACTGCTCAAAGCTATGCTCTCAGTAACCCCTTAATTCCCACTTAATCTACACCCTGGGAACCCATACGTGTGGTCCAAAGGCAGAGCAGTCACTTTTAACACTGCGCTCTGCCAGCAGATGCCATAGCTTCAAAGCAGCGAGCAGAATTGAACCTAAAGCACAAACTGTGCATCCCAGACCTGCAGGAACTGTTAAACAAGGCACAAAAGACCAGTTCATACGGGAAAATATATAGGAGATGGGAGAGGGAACCTAAAAGGAACTGATACCTTATGGTAAAATCAAAATGAAAGCTCTTTTTCCTTTTCAGAAAGCAACCAAAGAAAAAGATAAATATGTTATTATACTTACAACAAAGTGATGCATTCATTTAGATAGTGCTAACAGAAACACAATTTCTGTGTTGTTTTTCACAATAACCTGCTTAAGCTGCTGCCAATGACAGAGAGTTGCATTTCTAAAGAAAGCCACACGGGGAAATAACTACCCATCACTCCACGGGAGAGCTCGTTCCTCTAACTCACTCTCTAGTTTGCTAACGGGGTACTTAGCTGAAAGTAGAAGTTATTTTAAATCCGACATAACAAAGATACCAAGACACTGCAGGCTATGCCATGAATCTGCCTAAAAGTCTCAGCAATCTCTCTTTCAAGTAACCTTCTGCAAGGTTTCAGCCTGATCTAAACCTATCAGCAGCTTCAGGCATAGCACCACCAAGCAAATAGTCTAAAATCCAAATGGATCAGACCAGCTTGGTAAAGCAGTCATGAATGCTGCTGGGAGGGCTACCTGCATGTATTACTGAAGCACATTTCAGATGTTTTTCAACAAAGTATCAAAATTGACCTTTCTGGGCACATTAGAAATTCAAAATGATTAAATGTATGTTAATGACAAAAATAAACCTGCAACAGAATGGAGAAGGCAGTGGACACCAGCGCAGAACCCAGCACCTGAAGGGTGCAGAGAAAGAACAAGGCAGCCATCAGAAGGGGTTTACACTGCACTAGGGGTGTCTGAACTCTGTATTTGTAACTAAGGTAAGTCTTCACACCAAAAACAAAATAAAAGATTGAAGGCAAGAGCTCTGAGTACACTATGGCTCTCTGAACCTCATCTTTATCAGGTTAAAATTACAGAAGTTCACAAATACATGAAGAGAGTGCGCTCTTTTTAATGGACTAGTCAGTCTGGAAATATTTGCCCTAGGAGAGCACAAAGAATGGGCTAAATTTTACTGATTCATTTCTGCAAAGTAACGTAGAGCAGACACAGGAACGGAAAAGCAATATACAATGAGCATTTCTAAAAAGAGGGAAAAAAGTGACTCCACCCACACCTTTAATCCCTCCCAGTTCTCATGCAAAGGAGGCACCAATGGGGGATGTTAATGGACCAAAAATGAAAGATCAGAGATAACACGGGAAGGGTAGTAACTAGCGATTAACATAATCCATGCCTCACAGGACATTGCTAGTCCCTAATCAAGAAAAATTACATGAGCTGAGTGTTTGTCCTGCTCTGAGAAATTACTGGCATGTGCATGAGTTGGAGTCTATTATTCTCCTCTGTGCCTCAGAAACAATGCATCTCTACCCTTCAGTGACAGTTACTCTTCTTCCCACACCACAGCCACATGAGGCTCTATGTACTTCTGAAACTGGTTTTCAGACCCCAATCCTCCCTCCTACAGGCTGCCTATCCCTTAAAGGAAGTTGAAATAAAACCTGGTGAATGTCAGCCCTCCCCAGTAGGAGTCCTGGTAGCCTGCAACTGCCAATCAAGAAGGATTTTGTCCCTCCTGTGAGAAGCTCTGCTATTTACACTCTAAAAAGAAAGGGTTTCAGTTCCCTCAACACTGGTGCACAAAGGCCAGGTCTCATGGCAGATACTTGGGTAGCAGGGGGAGAGGGGGAATGCCACAATCCAATCTTACACAGCTAAGGTCTCCGTGGTAAGGGAGAGGTCTCTGTGGTAAGAGATCTCTGGAACATAACCAGATATAACATGTCCATCCCCCAATCCTGCCCAGTCCTCACTTCCCCAAACCTCTCAGATCTTCAAAGAAATCACTGCACTTAAAGTAACAACACTGTTGTGGATTCACTGTTACCTAAATGGGACAAATCACTGGGTGCAGGCTACAGTAAGGTTCTCAAGGTGTTTGCAGTTTGGAGTGATTTTAAGACTGCTGGCAGACAAGATGAGAAAAGCACTTTGCCTTCAACCTGATGCTCATTCTGAAAAGTCAGTATTACGTTAGTGACATACCTTTTCTGCTTGTACGTCAGCATCGCTTCAGCAATGGGCAACTGGTGTGCACAGTTTGCCCCTGCTATATACTGAGTTATCCGGGAGACAACATCAGGCGTTTCTGGAACTGCAGTAGAACAAAGAGAAAATAAATTAAGTGACTCCTCAGACCACCACCAGCACTGCCCTCCCTTTGCTCAGCCAAGCAGCTCACAGCATCCAGCCAGCTGCGTTTGAACTGCATCTTCCAAAGGAAGCTCCGCAGCCTACCCCAGAGCACTGTAAAGCTGTCTAATCAAAAGCAAACATCCTGCAAGAGCACCTCGGTAAAAACATTAGGAAGGCACACTAGATATGCAGACATCGGTACACAGCATTATTTATTGAAGTATTAGTTATTTTACATCTGTTAAAATGCTTTTCTTCAAAAATCTGTACCCGCTCAGGGTCAGCTTTAGACTTTTTTGAACCTTGACTGTAGGTATCTGGTGAAAAAAGTGCCTAGCCATCTCGCCCAGGGCCTTGGTGAGCCGCTCTGCTCACATCAGCATTTGAGCTACCTGCTGAGTTAATTGAAAAGACTGAGAGCCACACAAGGGTAGGAAGAGCACAAAGATCACGTGTGTAGCAGCAAGTATGCTTCAAGCCTGCGAGAGTGTTTGATTCAAGTTGACAGGAAGACATTTCCTAAATGCTTTCCATATTTCTTTGGTTTCAAGCAGAGCCTCGACTGTGAGATCAAGGGAATGCAAGTTACCTTCACCAGGCACTTCCATACCTTAATGGAGATTCTAACCCAGAGTCTCTTACAACAATTATTTGAACAGTGAACTGTGAAGAGCTATGATTCTTTGCCAGATCTTCTTATGCCATCACAAATGAAAATGGACAATCTACAAGGCCTGGACTGCACAAAAATGAGTCTGCATTTTCCTCACAGCATGCAAGCAAATAAATAAGACCTACATACAACCTACTAAAAAAAAACAACCACCAGATATGGTTCTTGAGCTGGATTTCTGTAGCTAATGAAGTATTCCTAACTCAAACACAAAAATCAAGTCTGTATTGACATTTGTCTGCATTTTCAAGTGCAGCAAGGAATTAAAAGAAACCTCTTCCAGAAATCTGTTCTTCCACAAGCTTAGAATCAAGAAAAAGCATAGGTTGGATGGCACACTAATGCAGCCTCCTGCTCCGAGCAGGGCTAACTTCACCTCCAGAACAGGCTGCCCAGGACCTTTTCCAGCCAAGTTCCCATCTGCTGGAAAAGGCTCTGAACAATCCCCTGTGAAGTGGTCTCTTTCTCCTTCTCTGGCAGCGAGAAGACTTCCAGGATCATCCTGGGACCCTGAGGCTCTCCGCTATTCCAGTAGGACAACCACACTGCAACCTCCCGACTTATGCAGTGTTCTGAAAACCCCGAAGCTTTTTCCTGATAGTGATATTTCTGTGGTGGATATGCTGCCATGAGAGCACCACTCCTCAGTAAAGTAGCAAGCCTTTGTGTAGCCCTCAGTGTGAGATGCAAATCCTCCTTTCTCCTGTTTCTTTCCATTCCTGAAGGAATGGATGGAAACACTGTAAGCATTAATATTTTAAGCAAATTAGTACTTTAACACACAGTAAGGTTTTATCCTGGCCCAGAAGAGATTCAGATCAGAATAGGAACTTGTTGATCTGACCTAGGGCAGCTCCCACATGTTACAACACTGGTGAAGAACAAAATTCTTTTTTAATGAGAAAGATACTGCCAGCAGATTTCAGAAATGTCAAGGTCATTCTCACGTGCAACTAACGGAAGTTAATCTTCCCAGAGTTTCCAGTTTTCCAAATCTTTTAGCCTGGACAGTTTCTGAAGGGCCAAAGAAAGCAATGCGCTAAACTTGGTAGTGAGATCTCCACAAAGAACAAAGCTGAGAGACAGGTAAAAACAGTGTGACTCAGAGACAGCTAGTGCCTCTGGGAGCCAACAACTCTTCGCAAACCATGTGGAGGACATACAAAGGTCAGCATCTGAAAAGGGAATGTGGTGTAGTGAGGAGGAAAGAGGAACAAAAACATTTGTCTGCTTCCTCTTGTATTTACTTGACCTTTGCTAAAATTACTCATTCAAGCCTTTTATCCCACAGAGGCCAGACAAAGACACGTGGTCTTACCAGTGGTCTGTGCTTCAAGTTTGTTGAACAGATCTCTCCAGGCTAGATCTTGGAAGAAGTTGTTGTATCTATAATCTACAGACCCCAGATACTTGGCCACTGGATGAGAGCCTAAGAAAGAAAGGAAAACATGACAGTTGTTCTTCCCAGCACGGAACACAGGTGTGTTTTTTATCTGCCAGGAATTAAATTCCGAAATCAAAACTACACTCGACACCCCAGAAATAAATTTCCTCAATTGTAACAAAATAAATTAGTCCAGATTATCTCTACAAGAGCATGCAAATAGACTTCCCAACAGAGAGACCGCTTCAACACCGCTGATATCTTTCAGTGACACCTCCCCTTCCCCCCCGCCAAATTAAATTTTAAAAGGCCAAAGAAAACAAGACAGGGAAACTGCTGAGGAAATAAATGATTTGGAAGACACAGAGGCCCTACGGCTCTCCATCTCAGTCTCTCAGTTTTGCAAGCAGCTTTCCCAGCAGTCCTTCCTGCCCACGGGCTGCACCACGGCCAGGTCACCTCTGCCAAGAGGAGTCGGACCCCCTCCTCCAAACACCATTCACACACCATGGCTGTTTTGCAATACTGAGAAGAGGCAATTGTCCCCAGCCAGGAAAAAACATCCCAGGGAGGCTCGTTTAATTGGCAGAGAAGGGCTGTAAGTTCAATAAATACGCTGTAATTAAAGACAGAAGGCAGAGTCCAAGGACTACAGTCCCCGGTGAATGTTGGCATATGCATCAGGTCCTTGCTTGCTCTAGCTAAGCCTTATGGCTCCTCTGAGCAGGGAAAGACCTACTTGCAGGAAGTTTGCGTGTCCAGCCTCCAGCTTGGAGCCCTGGGTGGAGATCAGTCTTCACGCTTACTTACAGTGAGCAGGAGAGGGAAGGCATTTAAGTGATTGACTCTGCCCTGGGAGGTGGCAAATTTTTGCCACCTTCATTTTAGGCGACGTGTCCCCCCAAAGCAGATGACCTGCTCTTGCAACTACCTCTCCAGTCTTCCAACATAGGAGAGAAGGTGCATCAGTATTGTACTTTCCAGTCACCACATTTCAGTCATGCTCAGCAAAAGCCCTGTACATTTATCATCAGCCATGAAGTGGCCTCAGAGTTCCTCCTAACCAGCTTATTTTTATCCTTCCTGCATACTGAATTCTCACATCAAGCTACACTTCCAGAGACTGCGACAGTTGAGTCATCAGCTGGTAACCTGACGACTCCTTCCAAGGAGACCCCAGTTGCTTAACTACACTACCATCCGCCAGTAAACCTCATGGTGGAAAAAAATCCACTGTCTTTTCTCAGTCCTCCAAACAAGTGCTAATTTTCAGACTTCCAGGAAAGATTAAAGCAGAAGGTCTCTCTAAGCTCCGCTCAGTGTTGTTAGAGACTGGGGCCTAAGTTCCTTCCTGGACCCTCCTGATCGTGGCTACTTTCAGAAGCATCATTTCTTTTGCAGTGGAGTTTTAAACAGTGCCCGTGCAACAGCTCTGCACCATGCACTGGAGAAGCTTTCCCACATGCTGGGTAAACACATCGCACATGGCAGATGCAGTTGGAAACAAGTACTAAACACCAGGTCTCCCAAGAAGCTCTATCCATGAGAGCTAAATCAAATGCAAAAAAACCCAAACAACCCAAATCACCAAAATAACCCCCCAACCTTTTTTTTTTTTTTTCTTCTATTTTATTTGCCCCTTTTCAGTTGTTTATACACTGGTTTGGACATCAAAGGAGTCTTTCAGCCACAGAATCGGAAGCATGAAGCAGGACTGAATCTCCCAGTACAGGTGCTTACAGACACCAAGCATTTCTCACTGTTAACAAACCACTGTAGGTTGACTCTTCTGTCATTGCAGCATGTAGTTATGGATTAAGAAGGTAAAATCATCTTGGAAAAAACTCCACCACTCCTACTTCGAAGATGCTGCTAATAGCAGAAAGTCTTTTCCTTTAAGTCATTTATGGCATGGTCACCATTCCATCTTTGGTGTTTTTTCAATTGTCAGAAAAGAGAGGTTGCTCCTCAATCACTTTAATGAACTGCCAGAAACCTGGCCAGAAATAAGTACTTGATCTGATCAGGAAATACTGCAGACTTCTATGGGAAAGGCTCTGTTAGAGAAGTTTCTATATTTAAAGTACCTTTAAAAAGCATTCCCAGTTCTGAAGCAGTCCTATTATATTATCAAAGTGCTTTGTTCTTTTTTTTTTTTTTTTAATTACCAAATAAAGTTTTAAGATTTAAAAACCAACCCAAAAACACACTAGCTAAATTTTGTGTTTCACGTTCAGAGAGAGAATATTTTCCTACGATTAAAGACTGCAGGACAGAAAACTCTTCTCCTGAGGCCAGGAGACAGCATGTGAAGACCAAAGTCCTCAGGCACAGAAATAATTTTTTTTTTGTGCTTTTACCCCCTAAAGGGCTCTCTCATCTTCCTGCCAACCACTTCGGAAATTGAATGCCTTCCTTACAGAATGATCCAGCTCTCCTCTTCTGCTTTCTTCATTTTATTTCTGCAAATCCCACCACTGAATCGACAGCCTAACCCCACCGTTCATGGTGCCAGCTAGCAACTTCTGACTCCTACAGCAAATGCCATCACCTGGTCTCAAACCTAGAAGACTGGAAAATACTGAGAGAAAAGTGCTTTTCGAGTTTTCTGTTGCCTACATCACCTAAGTAATCTGTTGACACAAGCCAAGCATCGGACTAGACCAGCTTCTGACATCACACCCTTACAACACCAACATTGCCCAGATAACTCTGCCCACAAGCACCAGTAACTGCCTGGCTTCCCAGGCCTCTCTGTTACAACATTCCTCATGTTTCTGACTACGACAAGACCCCTAAATGTTATTATCAGTCCATTCCACTTGCACAGACACAAGTGATCCAAGCTGGGTTACCTTCCAGCCAGGCAGGCTTGTTGAGCTGTTGGAAGGGCAGAGATAAGGTGCTGGAAAACTGAGGGAAAAACCCGAGGAGAACAGCACATAAAGGAAAGGTCAAAAGACATGTTATTTGAATAATTTAAACCCTCAGCAGTTTCACAGCCTTTAAAAAATTTTCAACCACCCCCTCTTCCATAAACATTTTCTGTGTCAGCCTCAGGCAGGCCAGAACAGTTATCGCTTTGGGAAACACAGTGCCCAATGAATTTAAGATTTTAGCCAGTGAAAGGGCTTCCAGAACATTATTCTATGCATTCATTATACCATGATAAAAAGATATACAAGAGCCTCCCTATATGGGGAGAAAGCACGCAACCCCCTGCTTCAATCGAAAGGTTTACAAGCAGACTTTGGCATCATGAACATAAAGATGCAATTCACTCACGCAAGAGCAGCAACGCAAGCATTACAGAATACTATGACAGCATGATGCTTGCCTCATTTAACAGCCATATATCTAGCCAAAGCTTCCAGGAGGGGCTTTCTCCTGAAGGAACACATCACATTTAACCCGTTCATCTTTCTACGAAGAAAAATTGCTCCTTATTTACCTAGAGGGATGATCAAAAATCTCATGTAGCCGAGCCAGTCTGGGGTTTTGTGAGACAGCTGCTCTACAAAGAGCCTCAATACAGCACTGAGGTAATTCTGGGCTCCGGCCACTGCAATTTTAATGGGGTTTGGAGGCTGTGAATTGCAGTTACAGCTAGACAGAAAAAGAGGGAACATATTCATAATCGTGCTTCCAACCAGCTATTTCAGAACAAGTTAAAAAAAATAATTGGTTAATAACAACCAAGGCAGAAGAGAGCTCGTTCAATACACAAGGCAATATCACAATGATTGTCAACAGCTTAAAACCTTATTAACACAATGTAACACTGTTCAGTACTTTCTTAATTGGTCTCCTTGCTCTTTCTTTCACGCATTTTGAGAATCTAAAGGGCTGGACTCAACTATCCAGGTTAGGATGTAACTATTGCAACTAACTCAGGAACCCGCAGTCCTCAGCAGGTATCTAGGGAATGCCTTGAAGAATTCATCTGGGAATTACTTGGGGGCAGAGAGCAAGAACTATTTAAAAACCTACCTATTAGCTTCGCATGCTTTACTGGTTATTAGATCTGACCTATGAGGCAGCCTCCGAAGCACAGTCTTTTAAAGTCAGCGGTCTCAGTGAAAGGAGACTTGTATCCCCACACACAGGGCAGAACAGCAACAGCTTTGCAGGGCTGGCAAGTGCTGAAGAGCACTCTGACTTCAGGAGAGTAGATTGGGGAGAAGTATTGGAAGGGAGAAGTATTTCTCAGTTATTGGACAGAAAACTCCCTAGGCACTGGACACAGGAGCTGAGAGGCTTTTAGAGCTGAGACTCAACAAACACCACAAGCAACGCGAGAACTTACTATCTTTGTATCCTGGAGACAATAGTGCTGAAAGCTGCCTGAATATCAGCTGAGGAGCATGTGCAGACCACTGGCAAGGTATGCTTTTGCAAGACATCTGATAGATACTGAGGAGAGAACATAACATGTTACGGTCCTTTATTCGGTACAATTTGTCACAAGAAGAAAATCTGCCTCCCCCAGTCTCCTAGGTATTCTCACACCCAAGCTCAGGCACTCTACCCATCTCCAATTTGTAGGTGATACAGTTATTTCCCAAATAACTTGTCCTTGCGCATCAGCCAAAGGACAACTATTTCTCTAGAAAAACAGAAACACTGCACCTTCTTGACAAACACCAACACTATATCAAAAAACACAGCATTTCTGAAAATGACAGCTCTAGAATAGAGGGGTTTTACGGACACAGAGAGCAGGGCAGCAGCAGAAGGCCATTTGCCTAGCAGACAGCAATGGGTAAGAGCAGATGCTCTCTATTCACCTGCTTCTGGAACTGCAGTTGCACCTCTGATTTCAAAAGGACTTAAATAAATGCAATGTTCTGCCAACCCTCAAGCGCTAAAAAAAAAAAGAAAAACAAAAAAGGAAGGGTGCTACCAACACATATATTCCTCAGGACAGAAAGTTTCCCGTCCATGCAGCTAACAGAAAACAAGTTGACACACACCTCAGGTATACATGGACATAACATTGATGAGACTCAGCAATTATCTCACACTTTCAAACTCTGCACCGCTAATCCATACACCCCAGCCAATGCCATCTTTACCTCCTCTGATACTGCATGTGCAAGCTGCTAAAGCTACTGAGACAAGACCTACAATACTTTCTGTCCATCTCTAGAAGGTATTTCTCCATCTTCCAAGTATAGAGAAACTGGAACCAGTAGCTCAGCTGGTATTTTTGATCTCAGACACTGAGACCATACCTCTTCCAGAAGCAGAAAGCCAAACCAGCCAACGTAACTCCACAAGCCTGGTAAAAGTTCTACAGGCAAGTGTCACCCAGTACACGTTTACTGGGTTTCTTCAATATACATTTTATTACTTTCGCAGACTGAGGCTCCAAAAGGAGCAAAATTTATTCCGAATTCCCACTCAAACCCAAAACAAACCACCCCATGTTGCCAGCATAAGAAAGCACCGCTCAGGGTTCTCCTTAATACAACTATCGCTCACTCAGAAAAGACAGGGTGACACACCTGCAGTCAAGAATCACAAGCGCGCAGGCAATAGAGCAAACCTCAAATATTTTCTCTTGTGATCATCACCTGTGCCCAGAAATCTCAGCCTAAACCATAGGTTAGTCCTTCCCGCTTTCTCTATCCCAGCCTACCACAGCCAAGAAGTAGAGTCCTGAGTGCAAGGGTCTAGCCATTCCCAGTGTGCTGCTAACCAGAAGGAATGGCATTTCTTAGAAAATGAAAAACCTCTGGGGAAAAACTCAGGTGGCAAAGCCTTACAAGATCCACAGCATCTCCCAGTGAAACAAAATCCAGTCTGTAGGCAGCGAACCCTCAGTACACTGCCAGCCCCGGTGCACCACCACTGCTCTTCCAACCAAGCAGCAGAACCTATTTGGTTAGTGCTAGAGCTCAAGGCCTGTCCATTCCTGAGGAGGAATAGCGAAGGAGAACTTTGCTTCAAGTCACGTCTCCTGCCTTTACCTGGCCTTGCCAATCAGAAGTATTGACAAGAATAATGTTTTCTGGCAGCTGGTCATCGGAAACCAGGATGTGATTTAGTTGGTCGTATACCGTTTTCCTGGGGATCTGGAAATAAAGACACAGAGAACAGTAGGAGATATCAGCTCTAATCTACAGGCCACCAGCTCCAGCTCATGCGTTCATGACGGGTGGCTGTGCAGGGCTGGCCAGTGCTTGGTCCCCCCATCAGCAAAGGCATGCTAGCAGCCGCGCTGGCTGCTGGGACTGACACTTATCAGCTTCTTCAACACTGCAATATTCTGGAGGCTCCTCTATTAGTCACCTTGGTTTAGTCAGCCATTACTCCTTCTGCCATGCACTTTTCCTTAACGTCACTTTATACCAACTAACAGTAGCCCAAGGAATTTTGGATTCAGAGAAGCCAGCAACAATCTCCTTGACGGAGGGAATTAGCTGAGTCCTGCAGCTAACAAAAGCATGGCACATAGGCTCTGCACAAGTCAGTCCCCTTTTGCAATTCCTAGCGATTTGCCTTATTTCAAAGGAGTAAATCCTCAACGCATCCCTATTCACTTCTCATCGTAACAATCTGTTCCAGTGTTTTCAGTTTATGGCTGGCTGACAAAGAAACAAGCTGGCAAAACCCAGCAGACTGCATGGAAGATACAGCATCAGCCAAGACATAAATTCCCTCCTTCCTGGAGCTGCAGGGCCCAGTTTCTTTCCAGCAGGGACAGCACTTGGACCAGAAGGAAAGTGACCACAGGAGAAGATGAAAAACTATGACTGGCTGGAGAGACAGCAATCTTTTTCACACCTGTAAGTGGTGCCGGGTGTCTGGAGAGCGTTCATTGTCCAGACTGTTCGCTCTCTCGTTCTGCGGCCTCACTGGCTGCCTCTCCTTCAGAGACGTGCTCCTTCCCCGACGTCCCGTCTGCTTCCCTTCAGACCTGCTAGAGAGATGTGCTTGCATTCCAGAGCTAGCTCGTACCTGAGCAAGATCCATCCCCCAAATCCCAGATCACCCCGTCTGGCAACCTCAACAATGTGAGCGGAGGCACTGCGGAATTGTCCGTGTTGATCTGAGCTAGCTCAGACCTGCTAATTCTGCATCTGACAGCGCAGAGCACACAGTTCAGTTACACAGCATGTTCCCAGGAGTCCCAGGCAGACGTCCACAGCCCATGCTGAGACCCACACCACCACCCTGCTGTTGTTGCACCAGCATAACAGGATCCAGCCATGCAAACCGCAGTCACACCCCCAAAACCAGCACAGAAACACCTCTTCAAAAGAACATCTAGTTGCTTGCAAATAACCACAGGAACTATTTGGTGGAGTTGCCGAAGCTCACATTCACTACTCTATTTGGGAAAGTTTAGCAGGACATAGGTTAGACTTGATAATCACCTTTAAGGTCAAAATCTGCATAAGACATTGACTTAGCAACAGTATCTTTGAGCAAGCAGCTCCAGAGTTTTATAAAAACTTGCTTGGACATGGAGCGCGTACAACACAGGAGACAGGAGCATATAAGCAATGTTTCCCTTCAGGGTTCTGAGCCTTCATTTATCATCAAGTGCTCAAGACCCATCACTTGAGTGCCTGAACACAGTGAGGGTCTTCTTGCAGTCAATGGCTTAAGGCCATCCTGAAAAAACGCTAGCAGGCTGTCCTTGACTTTCCAAGCAGCCCTGCAGCAGGCGCAATGCTGTGCCACCGCTCTACCTGGTGGATGGGATGATGAGAGACTCAGTCTTAGTGATCTTTCCGCTGGGTGGGAGCTTCTCAACAAACACATCTGGCGTGGGAAGTTCAGCTTCCTGGACCTCGGCTTGCTGGTTAGACTCCTGCAAAAACACAGGGAAGCGAGTCATGAGGAACAAACCCTCCCCTCTGCCTCGCTACCACACGGGCTGGCAGGAGGCACCCCAGCTTGGCTCTGGCTGGGGCACGTTCAGCCTGCCTCTTTCAGACATGCTACTCACTGCCAAAAGGGAGAAACCAATACCGGCTTATCTGGGGCTACCAGTTCCCAGCTCTGCCTCACAAGGGAGTTGGAAGTAGGAAAAGAGCTCAGATACGCTATTTGGAATAGGCACTCTCCCAGCTCAAAGCCAGGGACATGTCTCCTAATGCAATGCAGATTAACCCACCTTACCCAAACGAACTAGCAGAGAGAGAAAGACACGGGAGAAATGTTATAAGCTGTGTGTCCCCAGTAAAGCAACTTCAGCTTTGGGATTTTTACCCCAGGGCCAGTTTGATTTCTGCCAATTCAGCTTGAAGCAATATTTCTGTCTGATAAAATGGAGCAGCCCCGAGAACACTTTTAAGGAAGATACAGACGGTCAGTAGCATACTTTGGGCCAGCCTTCCTCAAACCAAGAGAAAGACTGTTTAAACAGAAGGTCACATAAAGCATTTCAGTTTCAAAAAGCTGAAAGGCAAGAACCTCCAACAACTAAGGTCAGCAGGAGAGCTCAGCATTATCTTCACTGCAGCAAATGTTATCTATGTAACTAGTGCTGCATATGCAACTACATGGACAGACACATGCCACGGAATGCAGTTCATAGTTGACACCAAAACTGCCAGGAGGAATGTTAACAAGGGCATTTCCAACTTACATAAGAGACAGTGTCAGAAATACTGTCGCCTGTATGTTTGGCTCCAAGACTTTTTGTCTTTTCAGGCACTTCTACCTGCTTGAGAGGAAAAAAAAAAAAATCATTAGGAGGTATGGCACCAGCACAGTTTTCAGCCATACTCTCTGGATCACGCTGTTCAAAAGACACAGTTCCCTATTTAAACATTGCACAGCTCTGCAGCATGACCAAGAGAGCTTCCTGGTCACACTAGGACTGAACGCATTAGGTGTGGGATGTGGCAAAGCAGCAGCTGAAAAGGGGATGGAAAAGCAGGTGAGCTGCCCCTCAGTGTTCGCTCCCAGCCACCATGAAAAGTATCCCAACAATAGTAAGGTAAAGCTTCCTTGAAACAGTACCAAGGAGTCCCTAAACTCCCATGCAACATCTCTCATCCCGGCAATCATTGCAAGTACATGAGAATCTGGAGCTATTCACACCATTAGCAAGTATTCAGCACATAACCTGAAGATGTCCCCTTGAGTTAATACAGTATTTGCTAAAAAAAACCCCAAAACCCAAAAAAAAACCAACACACTATCCCCCTCCAAAAAAGCCCCCAAAACAACAAACATGTTTTCTTAGCAGAAAATTCATATCTCTGCATCCATGTCCTTGGAAGAGTTCAGAGAGGGTGCTTTAATTTACACATGCAAATAAAGACAGTGTAGGTCTGCTATATTACCTGCATATAGATAACCTTCTCGAAATACGACTTACAGGACTTGATGGCTCTCTCTGGCTCCTGATGCTGTGGATGCTACCAATTTCTGTCTGAGAGCTGGAGTGTGACAGTCCTTCAAAATAAGGTCTGAATATGGAAAACAAAACCAGTTTCTTATTATCAAAAACACTAACGGAGAACGTCTACCACATTCACAGCAAAGCAACATGACCGTTCCCAGGTGTCCTACTGCTCCACAATGGTTCTAGTAAAAATTATACGCAACTTTTGACAGGAGGGGGAGGTCTCCAGGACAGCAGGAGAAGCCAGAAAGTGCAGGGACCCCTGTCTAGCTCTGACACTGACTGACCAACCCCCATCTAATGGATCCAACATGTCACCTGTCACACAGCTCACCGTATTTATAAAGCTCTTACTAGGAATGCTTGCACGCTTTCCCACTGCAGACCAAACAGCAGTTTTTGTTTCCATAAAATCCAGGGTGTGCACGGGGGTGCAGCACTTTCCCACAGCAAAACAGAATGCACATTCACCCCACACAAGCAGTTGTGTCCTCACTACGCCATGCACCGGGTTCAAAGCTTCACGCTGCAATTCTTGCTTCAGTTTTGCAAATGCTGATTGAACTACATGCCGTTCCAGACAGGGTCTAGCTCTTGACTGAAAGACAGCAAGTAGAGTTACTGACCCCCCATTGACACTCGGATACTCTGTTTCTGCAGGTAAGCGACTCTTGGTGCTAATACGCATTTTATTTCCAGCTTGTAGCTGGATTTGGCTGCCAGCCCTAGGATCCAATTACACGTTTGCTCAAGAAGATGAGGTAGGGCATACAATCAGATTGCACTTCCACCTAAAAAGGCAGCTCATTGCACCAGGCTACATGGCTCAATTACAATTTAAGGAACTGATTTTTTTCTTGTTGTTGTTGCAGGAAAAACCTGCCTACAAGCATCAGCATTTATCACATCCCCTTCAAGATAGGAACACAAGAACTGGACACAGCAAACCACAAAGTGTCTCCCCAAGACCAAACAGACGTAATAAGTTCTTATTCCAGCAATATTCCAGCCATCACATATCCCAGAACAGTTAGCTCCTCGGCTCCAGGGAACAGGACAGTGCAGTACACCAACTTCGTGTGTGCAGTACACCAGCTTTGGTTTATTTCAAAGCAGCTGCTTCCTGCAACGCATCTACTTTCAAATCCCTTCAAGGTAGGGCCTACCAACTGGCAATATATTGGATCAAGCTGCAAATGCCTTTATAAGCCACCAGCCCCACCACTTAACACTGCTGCCCCAGTCTATCCGTGACATCTTCTGGCTCACTGTTAGGGAACAAGTCACTCCAGACTCAGAATTTATTTTTAGCCCAACCAGGTTATTCTACATTAATTAGGATATTACGATACCTGGTAATTAGCTGGCACTTAGCAGATACTGTTCTGACCAACTGCAGTGGTAGGTTTTGTTTGTTTCAGAGCCATCACAACATTGAAGGCCCGAGCATACAAACACACGCCAGTCAGAAGCACACGTGCAGCTTGAACAGTCTCATGTTTTCAGTCCTTATTCAGGCAGGGACATGACACAACTCTGTTAGCTCAGGGTTCTGCATCTGCTTGAGACCCTGAGCCAGCAATCCCCAGCTCAGGTCCACAGTGATCTGTTTGCCCATACGTCAGTGCCCACAAAAGCCGTTTCAGCACAAGCTTGTGTGTATCTACGTGTGCTGCAGTCAGCCCCCTTGGGCCCTGAGGAACTCCTTTGTTTCCCACAGTCCTGCTTCCTTAATCCCTGCAAAGACTCTCTTTCAACATAGGGTCTTACCAGCTTTTCCAGAAAGACACAGTCTGCCTTGTCCATCCCTGCCTCTACTTCTGCAGCTTCCAACCACATCTCTTTCTGCCCAAGTACAGATTTCCTGGATGTTTCTACCACCTCTTCAAAACACCTGTGTACAGTTTAATTGTACTGCCTGCCTGTCAGCAATTCCTACCCCTGTGCTCAGCTGGCAGGGAAGGCCGAACATCTGCAAAGGGAACAAGGAAGAAACAAGACTGAAAGGAAGTTAGACCACCCCCCTACACTACCCCTGCTCAAGGCAGGCGTTCAAGTTGTAGCAACACACATTGGCGCTCCAACACCAGGTCAAGAGGGGAAAAAAAAAAAGAGGACAGAGGGGTGTCAATACAAACATCTAATCTGCGCTGACAGCGTGCAATGGTATCTCTCTGGCCTAGCATCAACCACCCCACACTTACTTTAACTTTGGCTTAGGAGTGCTCAAGACGCTGTCATCATCCTCCATTTCTGGCCCGCTGTCACTGGGGTTCTCTATATCCAGCGTGTCATACAGAAGGTCCAAGTCCTCCTCCACCTCTGGAACATGCTCTGCTGGGTCCTGCTCTGAATCCAGAACCTACACACAGGACAAAAGCGGGCATCGCTGACTCTGCTAGGAGCCAGATCGATCCCATATCACCTGAGCTCCCCTGAGGACTGCAGCACACCAGTCTTGGGAGTAAGATTCTGTTCCTAGTGCAAGGATACTATATCCAACAGAAACATTGAGTATAAGAGAAGTGCTTGTTTTAGGTCAAGCTTGTCAGTTTCTGGTTAAGCAGGAGTTATCTATTGGACTAAGCATCCACGAACGAGGTATTAACCATAGATTATGTCCATTATTCAACACCATTCTATAAACAGAGCTTTAAAAAGGCCTCTAATAAAGTCCCAGTTTTTTTAGAACAATTATGGAAATGCAGGACTCCCAACAGCATAATCTGTCTTGGGTTTTACCAAAAAAGTTGCCATGACACCTCCTGATTTGATACCCAAGCAGGTAGCAATAACAAAAATGTCCACAGGAGGCGCCTGGAACCTGGACAAGGATCAGCTGCCACCCAAACGCAAAGCTGAAGAGAACAGGTATCTCACACAAAACTTCCACATGTGGCTTCACACATACACCAGAGTAAGCAGGCAGTCGTGCAGAGTTTGGAGGTTGCTTTTTGAATGGCAGCACCAGAGAAGCAGCAGCTCAGCTCGCTGAGACCTCAGCTATGGGCGCTGACTCTGCTGAGCGAACTTGGGAAGAACAGCAAAGCTAACGGAACGTTTGGAAGCATAAGGAAGTCAGCACACAGACAGCCAATCGAGATGTTAACTGTTTTTATATTAGATACTTAACATTACACAGGTTCCTTGGGTTCTGGATCTCTTTCATTTTCAGCTCTGACCAGACAGCTGACTCTCCTGTGGATCTGCATTCCCTATCCGAGTTTTTCATGTCTTGCCTGGCTGTTCTAGTAAGGTGATCAAACAGGCTGGGATTGAACTTCACAAGCAACATACACAGCAGACTACTTGCCTTTGAAAGGGTCAAAGATAATTTCAAAGCAGCCTGCAAAACTAATGAGTACACATGTGGTTGCCAAAATCTGGTTTTGATAAAACTCGATCTAGAAAATGTTTGATGACATTTTAGAGTTGGCCCTCACATCTCCACGCAAGGCCAGGGTGTAAGGAAAGGTCACATCCACCACAGACTTGAAAACAGAATGAAGGGAACTGGGAGGAAACAGGAGAGTGTTCCTTAAGACTAAAGCACCAAGCAGTTAGAGGGCAACACACAGAGGGGAAGGCTTACAGACCGAATTACTTACCTCATCAGACACTTTAAACCTCTTCAGCAACGCCACAACCTTCTGTTTGAAGTTTTGTTGCTGCAAGTCAAAGACACATTTACTTAAGTAAAGCGTTAAGTGGACTGTTTTCTCCTAGTCTGCAAGAAGCCCAGACACATCTGACACTGGTGCTCTAGCTACTGCTTCAAATCAAACAACTCCTGGCACCACAAACCAAGTCTCTGCTGTTCCCATGTTGAAATCAGCTTTTGCAGACCTATGGTACATTCTCTCCCGCATTACAACAAACTCAGTCCCACTCCACCAAGTATTATAAACCTTCTGGCCCTGATGGATGGCACATCACTCTTGGTTGGACACACAGTGGATAACAAATTCTTTTACCTGCCAGATCACCTCCTGTACCTGTTTCATAAATTTCTGGCAAACATTTGACAGCCAACTTTTCCGATTCTTAAGGGTGAGCCAACACAGGCATCTACCTACTGACCCAAAGTACAAATGTGTTTTCTACCAACAAGGCACTGTTTTTCCAAGAGCTTGCAGTTTATCCTGGCAGGCCCATTTATTTGACAAGTAGAAAAGTTGTGGGGCTTGTCCTTAGCACTCGCCTATCAAAAAAATGCTTTCCGAGTCTGATACCCCCCGATCATGCACACAGCAGGCACCAAGTCCAAAACAACGCAAGCCAAACTGCTGCACTTTTGTGTTTACTTGCCCCCAAGAGCTCGCTCTCTTGCAGGACCAAACAGCTGAGACTTGCCACGAGCTTCCCAGCCCTTCTTGTCTGTCACTGACCAACGTAACATGCACATGCTGAAGAAAAGGAAGATGAGAAGGGCCCAGGTGTGAGTGCTGGTACAGAGCATTTGAGGTGGCATCCCTGTATCAGGAGCAAAGGAAGAGAAAACGTCTGGCACCAGGCCACTCTTAGGTGAAGAAAGTTGCTCATTTGATGGCTCTCCAGTACCTCACATGAGCTCTTCTTGGAACTACAACTGCCTGCTCCCACTCTGGCCTCAGACACTTCACACTGCCCCACGCCTCCAAACCTAGCCCTTTACCTCTCAACTCGTATCCTGCAAGCTGCAACCACCTCCTAAACACCTAGCTGAAATAAATCCGCCAGGCCTCAAACAAGACTCTGCAAAGACTGCCCTATTTCTCTCCCAATGTACGTGTGAGGTGAAGATGCTCTCGCAATAGTGAGAGTTGTCCTCTGGCTCAGGATGCCAAGCAAAACTGTCCATCGTGCAGACCACCTTGGATCAGCATGGCAGTCTGCGGAGGGAGGACACACAGCATCCAGTAGCTAAGGTGACATGGCAAGAGCTGTTTGCTGGCCTGAATGGTTTGACAGTCAGCAGACAGGAGACCTATTGGGTTTGAAGCTGGACTGATGTTAACTTAACTGGCAGCACCAAACACAGTTTTGCATCAACCCCACACACTGGAGATTCCGTATCAGTTTAGTGGTCAGGGAGAGAAAGACGTTCTTACTAAGAGGAAGTTGATCATTTAATAACCAACTGGTGTATTTTGTCCTGGCTGGTCACTGACACCTAAAACCAATACAAAGGACACCAAGGATATGAACTAGCATGCTCCTGGTCTCGTACAGAAGGTTTTTTTAGTAGCAGATTCAGGTCAAAAGAGGGTTTATTTCAGACCTTATCAAAATACAGATTTCAAAAATGGCCTCACAGGAGATACAACGATCTCTAAACTTACTACTAAGTCCAAAAAAGAAAACCTAGCCCATCCTGGTGGTTTTGAGTTACTGTCATCACAGACATGCATAAACACTTGTGTAAGCAGAAAGCTGCATTATGGCATAGTCGAGCACAAGTCGCTGCTCCACACAGAAGTGCAGCTTTGCAGGCATACGCATGCTTGCTGTGAGAGGGCGAGAGCTGCATGCGGCTTGCCAAAGCCTTCAGTATCCAGCCACTTCTTTTACCTCAGCACCACATGCACCACCTAAGGTTTATCTGTCAAGCTCCAGACCCTGACTGAGCTACTTCGCTTCATTTTGACACCTTCCCACTGGCCTCTCCCATGCACAGCACAAACAGAAGAGCTTCCCTTCACTTAGAGCTACTTTCAGGACTTACGTGAGCATGGATCCTGCACTGGTTTCATCATGGGGGTGAATTTCACACACTCACATGATTTTTGGAGCTCCTTAACCTTGCAGCCAAAGGACATTCAAGACAGCACATACACACCCCCTGAACGGCCCCACCCACTGAACTGGCTGCTTCTGGTAGCTCTTCACATGCTGTGACCGTGCCCCAAAGCTCTCTGCTGGGCCAGCATGTCTTCTCCCATAAGCCACATGCACTATGCATCCTGACCAAACCCCATCAGTGTTAGTAAAACTAATTTCCACCGACCCTGGTTATGGACGTCGTTCTTACTATCGATCTCCGCTGCTTCTTGGGCTTCCCCAGCTCGTACTCATCATCATCCAAATCCTGAACAGAAAGAGGATTCCTGTGTTACCTTTGTGATCTGGGGACACATGAGCATTCAAGTGCTAAAAATGTTCCCTCTATGAAGATGAACCTGCTGCTCTGTCTTCCAGGCTTTCAGCATTTGCCTTAATTGCAGTTATGATGGCAGAGGGAAAAAGGAAGCGAGCCAGGTCTGCAGAGAGACAGGAATAACAGCCTGGAGAAGTAAAACAGCCCTAGTTCTGCATTCAATGAACAGGGATAGTCACAGCCCCACATTTTGTGGGTTCCTCTTTCAGTACCCTCCGAGAGGTGGAAGGCAGGTGATGCCAGAGTCTGAAGGCAACTAAGACCCAAACTCGAAAGCATCTCACGTCTAGCCGGGCATTCTCTGTAAGGACCTATTTTGCAGAAGGTATTAAAGACTAAAGACAGACTCGGACCCCACTGGCCCTTTAATTACAGCTGGGGATCCAGTTGGGCTCTTTAAATCCCATCAGTATTACAGAAGCAATCAACTGATGCCTTGACCATTAAGCAGAGAAACACACAATGTTTCAGTGTTTAAAGGGAGCTCAAGTCCAAACATATGAACAGATAAATCACAGCATGGTGGAAGAAACGGGTTACTGTGCAGGCCTTCTGCCACTGCAGCTAAACACTTGGTGACAGTCTCGCACTGTCATGGTCTAGCTAAAGAAATAGGCTTTTAGTTTCAAGCACGAGCTGAGAGTATACACACTCTACTGAATCTCTCAGAGAGAGAAGCCATGCCCTAAACAGTACCTGGCCCTGTACGGCATCATCACTGGCCTCCTGCTCAGAAGAGAAGCTCTCGTACTCTTCCTCGGAATAGTTGTCTGAAAGGGAAGGAAAGAGGGGAGAGATCCTGTGAAACTCCTTTAAGGTGAGGGGACAGTGTCATCTCAGGAGCAGAGAAGGCCAACTAACAGTCACAAATCAAGAAAGGAGGCACACAAGGAGATGCCTGCTAGTTTATCTTCTAAACGTGCTAGAACCAGTGAGATGGGAACCGCCTGGAGGGTAAGGAACAAGGAGAAACACATCTAATAGGAAGGAAGGACCAACACACAGATAAGGTTCCTTGAAACACCGACCCCTTTTACCCTGGAAAGAACCACCTGGTAGACAGCAGCTAGCAAAGAGGTTTCTCCACAAGGGAAATTATTTCTCCGCTAACGTGGGCATAACTGGCTTAAAGGAAAAAGTAAGACATGCCAGGAGAGCCTATATCCTTTATCAAAATAACACTTCAGGTGAGCTGCGTGGCCTCAGGCAACAACACACAAGCACCTGCGTGCACTACCTTCAACAGGTCACTCTTCTAGCACTGCGCGGAAGGCTGGTACCACATAAAGAGATTGTCACAAGTAGAAACCCAATGACTTTCCTGTGCAGTGCACAACACCATGGATTTACACTCATTAAACAGGCCATAGTCCACAGCAAAATGTGTTGCAGGTTTGCAGGTCTCACCTAAGTTAGTGAGATTTATTGTAGAATAATCAAAGGAAAAAGAAGTTGGAAGAGTAGCTTAAATGTTAGTCTCCTGAATACATCACTGTTAGCCAGGTGAGAAGCTACAGGTTCTCAACACACCCACCAGTGATGCTGGAAGACCACTGGCAAGAACACAGCTAACCCTTGCTGGACGGCTCAGGTCTGGTGTGATATGCAGGAGAAGCTTTGACAATCCAATCCTCCACTCCTGTCACACTCCCTGCTTACACAGTAACAGGTTTGCAAAGTGAGTTTTCTTTGCATTAATTAGTTAGAGAGACAGCAGCTTGTGCAAACCAGTTCTCATTTGTCTCAGGAAGCATCTAAGCCCAGGTAGGGTTTAACTCCAGCTAGTTCAGGAAGACACTGGTCCTCACAGCATGTGGTTGTATGCTCACCCGTAGACTTGATTTTCTGGCTGGCCTGCATAGTGCTGTCTTCATGGTCAATTGGCTGACTTGACAAGGAGAAGATCCAGATTTCTGCTACCTTCACTGCAGCCTCTTTGATGTTGCTGAAAAGGCTCAGAACCTGGCCGCCTTCTGTTGGGTGCTGCATGACCTGGGCCAGAAATTAAGCAGTACAACTCTGCATTTAAATGTATTTGAACTTGCATCATTTGCATACTACAAGAGTTACTTATGTTAATAGAGTTACTCCACATATCCAAGTACAGAAGCAAGCCAACACCCTGCAACTGCAGGAGCCACTTGCAAGCAATACACAATGGTAGTTGAGATTTTTTTGCTACTACTGGAAGTGATGGAAGGAAAGAAAAAGCATTCTGAGCTTGACAGTTGATTAGCTTATCCTTGAAGCACAATACTTGACTACCTCATTACAATGCATTTGCTTCCATAGCACAGTAGTGATTTGAATTATCAAGTTACCAATCTTCTGAACACCTAATTAAGGAACTTAATTTTGTGTTAAAGCCCAGCAGAAGAGCCAGTAAAGGCAAAAATTCTTGGTGAGACACAGCTGCAAAGTACTTCCTAACGCAAGAATCTCTGCTCCAGGGAGCTGGCACCTGAATCTCAGCAGAGCTGCCCTCCCCAAGATAATACAGCAGTGGGTCATGAAAAACAAGACAATAGTGGAGGCAGAGGGACATCTCGGTGTGGGTTTCTCCATCCTTTGCCACTCACAGCTCACAGGGCTCTCCCCAGAACCCAAGACTTACGTTCTTCTTTTGCCCCATTGGAGTCAGAAAGCAGTTCCCCACGCCTGCACCTCAGCTTTCTAACACACACCAGGCTGCTTTGTCAGCTCCCCACATGGCTTTAAAAAGACCCAAGCTGATGAGGAACATATGCCTCTCTGCTCTTAAACTCTGCTCAGACTCACAACTCCAATTCATTGCTTTGTTTCAACAGCTAAGAGAACTTCATTTTTTTTTTTCAAATAAATTTTAAGAAATGCATCGGTGCTGTTTAGAGGTCATTATACTATAAACTGAAAGGGGCAGGGGGGGACGGACTTGTAAAATTTCTTTTCCTGGGCTTCTATTTCAGAAATATTCCAGATGAGCTGGAGACCAACTATTGCCTAACACTGTGAACCTTTGGAAATTTTTGACCTTCTAACCTCAGTCAGCTGACATTACAAAAAGACTTAAGAAAAACCACAGGCAGCAGCAAATGCCCAACGCTTAGAAGTTCACTGATGTGTCTAATTAATGGGCCCACATATTTTCTGCCTTACAGCAGTATTTAATTTCTAGTTCTTAAACAAACCAAACACGCTACAGGAAAAGTTGTTAGCTACAACACCACAAATAAGAATTTGGCAAATTCAAATGGGGAGCTCACCATTTACTGCAAGTCTAAGGGAAGCTGAACTCACGCACAAGGAGCAGTCTTCATAATTAATTATTTAATATTGTAATAACTCACCACAGCATACCACTAGTTTATTTTGGATGGAAATGATTTGCTGACAGAATGCAGTCTGATGAAGAATATTGGTGTTAAGCTGAATTTGCTACTGCTAATCCCATCTCTAAATACTTCGAAACAGCAGAAATTAAACAGGGCATGAAATAACGAAGCATGGAGCTAGGCATTCAGAAAGCTTTAGTGAATAATTTATCCATACTTGATTCCAGCATTAATTTTCAGAAGTAAATCTGAAAATTTTATCATTTACCTCTTATGAATAGAACTCCTTCTAAATTACCAACAGCCATGAAATAACAATTGCAAAGGGTCTTTCAAGCAAAATGAGAGAAACGACTTGATCCTGAACTCTCATATAGTGGCACAGAGAAGCACAGCAAACCTTGCTTTAACTTGAACATTTCTTAGGCTTGGAAGGTTTGCCTGAGCGACCCTGTCTGTCTCGTTCTATACACATGAAACAACAAAACATTTTACATTTCTTACCGACCTAAGACGAATGCGTGTGTTACTTCAACCAAACACACTGCAACTTGTGCTGTTTCTTCCAGGAAACATGATACAAAATAATATTTACTACTTTTAAACTTATGCTCAAAGTGTCCTGCATACAAAGGGGACAGCATTGTATTTAAGTGAAATGACCTGGACCCCCTAACTCTAAAAAAAACCCCACCCAACAACAACAAACCCCCCCTCACAAAGGTAATAAGCTTCATGAACCCTTTAGCTCTCAAGATATTATCCAGAAGATGTACAATACTATTACTCAGTAGTAAAAATCCATTTAAAATATTGCCCTGAGAATACTGGTTATGGTTATTAAGATAGCTATATGAAATCCTGCCAGGTACCTCTCAACGAGGAAAGTGACAACATTGGATTAGAGAAAGGAAAATAGTCATCTTTGTAAACAGAGATCATGCCAAATGCTGCTCACCTCAGCCATGTTGATAGACCCCACAGCCAGAGTCTTGTAGCCTAAAATGGTTCGGTTCTTGTACCGCTTCCGCCGCTGCAGCATGATCTGAAGCTTGTTGCCTTCTCTCTTCAAGAAGTGAGGGTACTGCAGTGGAAACACAATGGAAGAGTTTACTACGTCTGTCAACACTATCTCCCAAGCTGCCTGCTTCACAAGTAAACTCCATTCCTAGGGATTAACCCAGGGCTTTTAGAAGTGCCTACAGCTAACACACTCCGTGGACAATCCTTCATTATCCTAAGGAAGCCTTCATCTCTGCCCAAACAGCTCTGCTCTCAGCTTTCACTTCCACAGCCAAGCACACTGAAAACAACACCTGGGGGTGCAGAGGAGCTGTTCAGTTTGGGAAGGACTGAGTCCAAGCCTGGTTCCAGAGAGATGAGCAGCCTCCAGGAGATGCTTTCCCCAGCAGCTAAACAGAGGTTGCCCAGAACTGGAGCCCCCGAGGTGCTGCCCGTGGCACAGGCTGCGCCTGCACGAGCAGCAGGCAGTGGCAGGGACAGCCAGGGACCCCCCCGCACTTTCGGCAGCATACGGCCTTCCCTCCAGCACAGGGACACTTCTCAGTGTTTGACCCTCTACTGCACACGTTCCAGAGCCTATTGTGCTCCGAACGGCAAGTGGAGAGAGGCCCAGCCATGAAGAGGCCAGGGATCTGCTGATGCTTCTTTTGCTAAAGCACGGAGACCTACACGGTCACGCGACAATTCTCTCCAGGATGATTTCGTCTCCTTTCAGCATGTGGCTCTTGCAACTGTCAATGTTTTCCACCATTAACACACTGAAACTTCTATTGCTCAAAGCGGTTCTATTTTAAGGAGTTAAGAAAAATCCTGTCCTATTGCTAGGCTATGCTGCAAAGACATAAACGCTTCCAAGACACGTTCCATACAAGAAAATACATTTGTTTACATACGACCCAAAAACCAGAGAGGCTCTGAAGTCAAGCAGGGAAATGCTTAGATTGAAGACATGACTTTGCTCCCACACCCTCTCCCAGTACATGTGCTGGGGTGGTACAGCTGAAGGGAAGAGCAAGGTAGTAGCCTGCACGTATTAAGCATCACCACGAAGAAAAGAGTGGGGCTAACCACGCGATCTCAGCTCGCCCTGCTCATCTGCACAGAGTATCAATGCAGTCAGGCCCTGCTTTCTGCCAGGATGCCTGCCAGAGCACTGACAGTCCCCAGGACCCAGCTCACCACCAGCTGTGAAAGGAAGAAGCTGTGCAAGGGGAGAACAATCCTCAAGAAAAGATAGAGCGGCCACCTGACCAGGTAGCTGAGTCTCATCTTGAGAAGAGGCGAATGGGACACAGGTTCCAAATATACGAAACACATAGTACTAAGTAACCTGCAGACAGGAGAACCTAATTGCAGAGATCTCAAACAGGACATTCCCAGGAGAAGGATGCTTCCCTCACAGGCACGACCTACATGTTTGGTTTTTTTTTTTCCTTGGGACATTGTAAAAATAACTTCCTCCTTATCAAAACGTTTGATAAATACAAATGCTGAGTGCCACCAGAAACCCTGAGATATTAATTTGCAGTCCACAGCAAGCCTGACTGCTACACAGAGAGCTGGGAGCAGTGGCCACGCAAACAAGCAGAATACTAATTAAATGATTGCTCTGCAAGGGTGAGATCTGCTGTGCGTTGCACAAGGAAGCGGCTCTGCAGAAGAGAGGACTGGCAGTCCACGTAATTAAAAGACAATCTCAAAACACATCTGCATCCAGACACAAATGGAGCCTGTGACTTTGGAGATGTGCAACACCCCTAAACAAGGACAGAAGAAAGTTACTGGGAGGATGGGGCAAGAGGGGCTCAAAAAGCCAGAGGCACCTTTTGCCTTCAAATCTACCATCTCCCTGCCTCTGGGGCCCTTCCACGTGTTGGAAGGGCAGCAGAGGAGGGACCCCTCGCTCTCAGCTCAAGGAACTTGGGCCACACCAAGGCTGCTTAAGTACATGCCTGCAACTAAAGTCCAAAAGTCACGCTTGGTCCCAGGCCAGCTTGATTTCCATGTGCACAAGTTTTCAGGGATTAAACTGGATGGTTCAAGTCCATACATGCGCAAGTTTCTGTTTGTCCAAGGTGTGCTGCCTGGCCACACACATGAGCATTCACAGAGATGATAAAAGAAAGGTGCAGAGAGACTCAGGCCACTAAGCTCCTCAGTTAAAAGCAAGGGCTTCTAGAAGGAAAGCTGAGCCATTTTCATGACAGACAAGCTATTTTTAACACCAGCCATAGCGTATCAACTCTACAGAACAGTTTCGACCAAAACTTTTCAGTAATTCTCAGTCCATGACAGAGATCGAAAAGAACACCAGTTTGGCTCAAAACATTTGGAAACAAGACTTTTCGAGGAAGTGTCAAACACTTCAAGGCACCTCCGAGGGGTGAGAAAAGGGGGCCATCACACACACCAGAACAGTGAGAGTCAGGGCAAGACGTTCTTTCTGAAGCCCCAGTGATGTAATTCCTTCCATCTAGAAAGGTTTATTAGATTAAACGCACGAATTAAGTGCTCCAGAAAGCTGCGATGTTGTGCTTGGAATATCTGGGGAATTTCACTTGAGCCTGTGAAACCCATGGAGGGTCAGGAGAAGCAGCCATTCCAGCAGCAAGGGTGACGGTAGCTCACCTACCAGAAAGGCTACTGCTGGCCTAACCCTGGCTAGCAAGGAGAAACAGGATTGGGCACACCACCACTAACTCCAGTCTTACCCCAGCTGTGTAATAGAGCAACAGGAAACTTCTCTCTCCCTTTTGAGAGGAGGCCTGCCAGACCCCACGGGCTGCTCGCTATTACGCCAGCCTGCACCGTCACCTTTCCAGCTTAGCTCTGACAAGGAAACGCTCTGTGCAAAGGACAAGAATTCCACCCAGGAGAAGCAGCTGAGAAGGCAGCGACTGTGAAGATACGAGGGGCTGCAATTCCAGACAGCTAGCACAAAGCAAGGCATGCAGTTTGACGAGTTGGCAGCGCAATACAGAGATACTGGCGGCTGCAAGACACCGAGACCTTCTTGTGCTGTGACATCCACATGCTTTTACTCTGCGGCCCATCACCAGTCTCAAATATATCCCAGGCACTAAATTCAGACTGCATCTGGCTTAAGCTGCAGTTGTTAGCTAGGAGTAGCTTCCAGCCATCGTCCAATTAAGAAACAATAAAAGCTGTCATAAAAATCCTGCTGTGCCATTTCAGGAAGGCTTCCCAGGCCTTACTGCATCCAAGACCACCAATGCTTCCTGGAGCCAGAGACCAGCAGCACATCTCTGCATTAAGCTTGCTCATCTCTTCTGAAGGCTGTGTCACGGACATTGCTCTCCCCTATTCTGGCTCAATTCCCAGCCCCTTCAGGGGAAATCGAGATAGGCAATGCTCTGCATCCTGCTGCAGCACTGCTCTGAGTCCCAGAAAAAAAACCATATTCCAAATTAATTCCAAAAAGATCTGCAGAAATACTTGCTCCTTGCTGATACAGGACTGGCAGAGGGAGACCTGGCTCATCTTACAGCTCTGCTCCCAACCATGGGAAAGCTGCAGCCCCAGGACCCAAGCATTCATATTCCTGGCATGCAACTTTGTTTTTCCTGCTCACAACGGAGAGGATGCAATGCTGCAGTTAACCCAGTCTGTGGGCTGCATCAGGACAGAAGCAGAAGCATCAGCCATCTGTGTATCTGCCTGGGCAGCCGCAGGATTATCATCTGTCTGCAATGAAATCTTATCTGCTTCGAGTCTGCACGGGTCTCAGGGTAACAACCAGGCTGTTTCACATCGCCACTTGAGCCTTTCTCCTTACCAGATCAAACTCTTGACTTCAAGATCTAACCAACAGTCCCAAAACACAGATAATCCATATATGAAGGGTTCTTAGTGTCTGTCTGTCTCTGCACTATGCATGTAAAATCCTCCCTCTTACTTGCAGCAAACCAGCCTCTATTTACCTTATTTCCCTGCTTGGGAGGTAGCACCAGGGCAGCATACTTTGAGGAAAAGAGGAACCAATAAAATACAGTTGCTCCAATTCCCAGCTACTCCTATGACTCTAAAGCCAGGAGTAACTGTCTGCATGCTGCTTCTGCTTCTCTAAGTGGTGCCCCCCTCAGCAATGCCAAATCAGAGGTTCACCTGTCCCACCCCTACTACTGCCTTCAGTCAGCCTGATAGTCCATGCCACCCCCCATGGCTGCCACCCTCCAGTGCCCGCTCAGAAGGAAGGCAACAAAAGGCAAAAAAGAGTCATCCTGCTCTGCTCCAGTTCCTGCCACAGCCGTAACGTGAAGATGACAGACTGCAGCAAAGCCCTCATGTTCCTGGGCTCCAAACACAGGATGCACAACAAGGAAGGTCCCCTGACACTGCAAACCATCACCCTGCTCCAGGCCTTTAATACCGAGAAGCAATTCAGACAAATTTGTGTTGTCACACTGAGGACATGCAAAGTGCTGCTAGTGTCTAACTTGCCTGTTCCCCCCAGACAAGTCAGGATTAGAGATCTGCCTTCCATGACGCAGGGTTGGCCCCAAGACCAATTCTAAGGGTTTATATGGCAGCTTTCCTAGTGGGCTTCCCCCTCCCCAGATCCTGGAAGCATCTAGGCCATTTTTCCTCAAATTCCCCACAGCTGACTGCCCAGAGACAAGCCAAAAGAGCTCAAGACAGCTCTTCAGGAATAGCTGGGACTGCCTTAAGAACAAGCATCTCTGGCAGCACTAGAAGGATCTTCACCTCAGATCTACAATGCACCTCTGCTCACTGCCGGGCAGCAAGTCCAGCAAGCACACATGCCCCAAGGCCTCATCCCACCTTACCTGCAGCGAGAAGGTCAGCGCAAGTTCCGTCTCCACATGTCCACTCGGGGGCAATACAATCTCGTGAGACCGTAGGATGCGCTTGGAGCCCTGTACAGAAACAAAGTCCACCGGGTGAATTCCCTAGAAGCCAGCACTGACATCCCACCCCAGTCCTATTTACTGAAAACCAGGAAACATCATCAGGGACTACCACAGAGAAAGTGAACTGATGCATCTGACCGTGCACTTCTGTAAAATATTAATGAGATGAAAAGGGAGATATTTGACTAATAAAGATTTGGGCATATTTACTGTTACAAACTGCAACAAAGCAGCTTTTGTTCTGCCAAACCCCAGCATTCAAAAGCTATGAGTCAACCCCCACCCCTCAAGTTCAAGTCTTGCATTTTTACTTCAGCCAATAGGTACAAGGCTTATCATCGCCTGGGTTTGGAGGCTGCATCATCATGCTTAAATCTTCAGCGTTAGCCATGACGAACTGGTCTTTTCGTGCACACACCCCTTCGTGGGGAAAGCGGAGATTTTAACCGTTTAAACAACTGTGAGTAGTTGGAGTTATAAAAGAAAAAAAATCCTACTAAGCATCACAGTGGAGTCTGAAGACCTGATAATATTACAGGGCAATTCCAAATCAACACTGTGTCTGGGCTGCTGTACACTAATGAGTTACTGGGCTATTTACTGTGTGAGCATTTCATTTCAGGGAATGTTTCAGGGAAAACTACCAGTCTGTCGTGCTTTCCTGCTGCCTAGCAAATCCTTCTGCACTGTTCAAACACAGTGGCAAGTTTCAGAGGTCCCTGGCTCAATGTTCTGCTGAGACTGCAGATCTGGCTTTGTCCAGACGGGCTGATCTCCCAGAAGCACCGCACTGTAGCTCTCAAAAAAGCAGCATCTGGGAAATAAGAGACAGACTGGGGGGGAGTAAACCCCTCCCAGCTATACATCCAGAGGAAAAACTGGTCTGCCCATATCAGACTCAGATAGCATCCTGAGACGAGAAAGAAGCAGAGATTCATTTACATCCCTTCCTCCCCAAACACATCGCTCAGGCAGTCAGAATGAATGCTGTGATTTGCAGTGGTGCCTCAGGTCCTGCACGCCACAGCGCAGGCTCCTCAGCGGAAAAACCGAGGTGCCAAAGCTCCAGCAGATCAGAAGACAGACAGCAGAGCAGGGTGAGAAACCAAAGGGCTCCCCCCAGGAAAAGTAGCACACGTGCAAGTAAAGCACAGCTAGCCTTGCCGCTGGCAACAGCGGCATCTGTTCCGTTGGTGTAAAGCTCCTAAAAGCAGCGATCTTGCTTTACTTGTTATGCAACTCGAAATCTAATGACAGACCAAATATAGCAGCTTTTAAAAGACCACAGCAGATAAACAGAGCAACGGCTCAGGAAATGGAGTTGACAACTCTTTGAACATCACTGTTCAGGAGGCTGCAGGGAGACACGGGAAATGCAGGTAAGATGCTCTCATTAGGTCTGAATTCAGTCATCCCCTCTGGAAGGACTCCAGTGCCTGACGCCTCTCTCTCGCAATTCCCCATACAAAGGCAGTGAGTCATTTGACAGAGATCATCTATTTGATGATCCAGTATCACCAGCCTCAAAACAATACCCATGTCAGAAACCTGAGTGCTGGCAAATTAAGTGTCCCTGAAAGAGCTTGTCAGCATCATCGTAACCTGCAAGCTATAAAGGGGCTTTTAATACCAGGGCTTCAAATCTGCCTGTGTCTGAGAGAGCTGCAGTGCTACTGACCCACCGTTAAACATCACATCACAAAGAAATAGGGTGCTGATTTAGCACAAGGGACACCCAAAGTGAGGCACCCTCTGGGACAGCAGTCATTCCAGCCTTTGTCACCTCTAGGTCAACTGGAAGGACAAATCAAAGGCAAAAGAAGGATGGCCTGGGAATGTGAGCTGCAGCCTGGGACTTGGCAGATGAGCACCCCAAACAGAGCAAGTCCTTCTGCCTTCCAGTTCTACATGGATCTGCCCTGGTGTAGAAAGGACCACAGAAGTTCTCAGGTCCAGTCTCTGACTGACTGTAACAAGGCAGATGACAGCACGTACTCAAAATAGACAAGAAAGTCCCATATGTTAAAACACGCTCTGAACTTGCAGGCCTGGGGCAGTATTTCCAAACTTTTCACCCATAAAAAGTGTAAGCAGTCAGCAGTAACCTGGACAGGAAAAGAAGGTTTTGCTCTAGTAAGAGCTACTGAATTCTCCAACCCAAGTCTGACATGCTCTACATGTAGATCATTCACTGACAAGCCTCAGGCCCTTACAGTGACGCATCCACCATCTAGGAGTATAAACATATGGAAAGCTTTCAGCCCCGATAAGCAATATCTGACAGCCTGGAAACCCACAGCCATGCTTCTTCCAAGGTTCCCATGAATCCAGGTGTGTGAAATGATTCCCTACCTTTCTGCTCCCTGCTGTGGGTATGTGAATCCCCTCCAACATAGAGAGACATATTTTTACCCCAGCTGGACTGCTCACGAAGATGAGTGATGCTGGTTACATCCTCAGCTGCATGTTCTTGCACCATAGAGCCTTCACTATTTCAATTTCCAAGGTAGATTGTGTTTTGACACACTCTGCAGGGGTTTTGCTGGCTCTTTATTTGAAAAGCAGCAGCTTTTCAGCATGGTTAATGGTATTTTTCTACTTATAGGTCTGCTAGGCTTTAACTCACTAAGTACTTCAGCATTTGCAGTGGTGGGAGCACGTGAGCCGAACTGATGCTGTGACGCACTGTGGAAGCGAGACCCCTTCCTTCCTAGCCTGCCTCCAGGCAGCGTGACCTACATGTAGGCACCTAATTAAATGGCACAAACGTATGCTGTAAAGTGGGTTATTTACCTAAGATGACAACTGTATTTTATGGAAACAAATTAAAATGTACAGGCACCCTACAAATCCACTGACAGGCACCTGGCTACGAAATGACTTGGACTCCTGATAGCAGAGCTGCCCATCAGCAGAGGAAGGCCCAGTCTCCAGACCCCCCAAACCGGGACCAAGGTACCAAGTTGTTCAGCCCTAAAGTGAGATGAAGCATGTTAAATAGAGAGTCAGGCTTGGATTTAGTGACACAGCTCAGGAAGAAGAGGTGACAACATATGATCTGTAAAGAGCATTTTTTACATACAGATACGCTCATGCTGAGCCCTCAGTGAACAATATTCCTTGCTTACAACAGTAAAACTCAGTAGGAACATGGGGGAAGGATCACAAGAGACTCTCCACGCACCCAGAATGCCCTGATGTACTTGAGAAGAAGCCCGTGGCTGCAATGGACCCTCATGTGGAGGTGACGCTCAGTTTAGGCATCTGCCAGTACTTTTACCCGAGCAACACATTTAATTCTTAGAACTGAGCAGCAATTACCTGCATTTTGACAGCAATGACCCCAGAAATAAGCTCCTTATCCAATTCCTTTAAGACTACCAGTTTCTTTAATGTCAAGCTGCACAACCTGCAAACAGGAACAGAAGAGAAACAGTTACAATCACACCTGAAAAAGGAAAAAGCTCTGAACAGCTTTTGCACACAGCAGTATCCCAGTTTGAGGGTGAACAGGCTCTGGGCATACACCACACACTGATACAGACATTAAGACAACAGAAATGCATGAGGCTTCCCTGGTTTTTCAGACTGAATTTCTCCAACCTTTCACAAATACAAACGGGTGGACAGGATTGACGTGTCTGTCTCTCTGTTTGATACAGACCCATGGCCACATGCGAGTGCCTCACAGCACTTCCACTGACCACAGCTTGAGAACTCTTGCTTTGAGTCAGACAGAAAGCTTTAGGGTCAGAGGAATTAAATTCCAGTAATAAAAAAGCACGGGGTCAGCCTAATTTTAAACTTTTCTACAAAGCTTTCCTAGATTGTTGGCTTTTTCATTTTCAGACTTCTGGCTCCCAAAGATCTCACTCCCACCTCCTCTTGTCAACCCACGCATTCTCCTCCTCACCCCCAAACAAAAGTGCTAGCAAGTGGCTCAGGCATCTCTAATGGGAAAGGAAAAAGAAAAAAGAAAGAAAGAAAGGAGAGGACTCAAGCGGTGCCCTCTGGCCCTGGCATTCACATGCCACACATATGCAAGTAAATCACATTCTTTACCCAGGCAATGCTACATTGTTCTGGTTAAAGCTGTTTGCACTTCTGCCTTCCAGGCACAGGGAGCCTGGGAGGGGATAAAGTTTGGACTAGGTGCAGCTGAGTTAAGGCTCTGAGGTAACGGGACCACAGTATTGGCACTGTCACAATTTCACAGAAGTTACCACCAGCTGGTGTAATTAAGAAGGCACGCCAAGAAGCAAACTTCAGGCAAAGATAAACCTGAAGCAAAGACAGCTCAGCTTGTGGAAAGCAGAGGCCAGGGAAAGCTGCCGGGTGGGCTCTTAGTGACTAGACATCATCCGTCACGCTGGCCAGGAGCCGGCACTGTGTCAGGTCCCTACCCCATGGCAAGGGCAGCTTTGGCCTCTGCCATGGGATGTTACCAAGCTTCAGAATGGCTCCTCTGAAACCCACTGCAGAGCTCTTACTCCCAGATAAAGTGCAACATCAGGGCTGTTGATGAAGGGGCCAAGTCCAGCAGTAGATGGGAAGGGAAGAGTAGCTAACGCTGGATTTTGGTGCATGACCAGGCAGCTGTAGCACAAGTGCTGCCGATGGAAACATACACCTGAACTACAGGACTCCATGCTGCTGCCAGGAACCCGACAAGTCACCACTGCAAGGGCAACCTGCACCTCCACCACCACCACCTTCTCTGCCACACTGGGAAGCTGAACCATTGCTTTGCTGCAATGCCTGAAGGTAGACACGATCAGCCTGGGTGCAAACCCGCAGGAGAGACACAGCTATGGGCTCTTCCTGACAGGAGCAGTGGCAGATGTCGAAGCAACTGCTGCCTGGCTCATCCAGAAATGCCTGTGGCTCTGCCTGAACTCTGCCCTCTTGCACGGAGCTAGGACCAGGGAAGAGCTGTTCTTAGCTCTTACGGTCCTCATTCAAGCATCTCTCCAAACCTGCCCTTGTCAGCCTCTTCTCCACCCCAGCTCACGCTATTTGCAAATGAGCAGGGAGAGCAAAGCACTGGTTCCCGCCACCAGTCCCCAAAAAAAAACAAGAGAAAGAGAACTAAAAATTCTCTCCTTTGCAGAGTTTTGCATCAGAAGACAGCGCAGCCAGAGATGCCACAGACATTACAAGGAAGGTGGAAAAATCGAGTCTGCCTGGGCCTCTGTTCCCCTCTGTCACACCACCAGCAGCTGTGCGCAGTGTCATCGAGACAAACGTGCTAGAGAACGCGGGCCTGGAGGTGCTGGGTGCCACAGGAGGGATGGCAGAAGCGGGCAGGACAGCTGCAGCTGCTGCTGGGCTGGCGGAGGGGGAACCAAGCGCGCTTTCGCCCACGGGCAGAGATTCCCCTCAGGCAAAGCAGGTGAGCACAGGCCAGCGCTTTCAAGCACAAGCATCAGCATCCCGGTGCACTGGAAGTCTGGTGAGGCTGCATCCTTCAACCCAGAGTGCAGGAGAGGCCACCGGCTTTCCCTCTGCATCCTGAACAAAACAGCAAACGCAGACGCACGCGGCTGCTGCCGTGAAGCAGCCGGGCCAGGATGTGGAGGAAGGAGGCTGTGGTGCCATTTGTTTTCTTTGTAACGCTGTAGCTGGAGGACAATCGCGCTCGGCTTGCCAAAACCCACAGAGCTCAGGCCGGTCAGGTGCTGAGAGCAGAGGTAGGACAACACACTGGCATTGTCTCGGCTGACAGGCAAGGAACAAAGGCCTTTTCTCTCCGGCCCCAAGCTCGAGGATGAAAAAGGTACGGGAAGAAACAATGGTGTTCTCAGCGCACACAGCAGAGCACAAGGAGGGCGTTCTGTTCTCCGCTGGGCATTCCTTCAATTCATCATTTATGAGCTTTGATCAAGCCCTGTGGAGCACTCGCTGCTTGGAAAAAAAAAATTAAAAAAAAAAGTAAAAGCCTCCTTTACAGCGATCAGAAAAACAAAAGCAGTTAAAAAAGACATGGAACGCATCTGCTTTCTTTATCCCCCATTGCTGGGCTGCTGGTACTAAAAGGCGCTTCACGCAAACAACAATGAAATGTTTATATTCTCCGTTGGAGGGGGAGGGGAAATAAAAATCAGAGTTTAAATCCCACCAAATCACTCCTACCCTCAACACACTTACCGTGCTGCATCTTCTGTCTAAATCTGCAGCTTAGAAATCAAAGCAACCTTCAGAAAACATGGCAGAAAGGGGCCGTACCGTACTCAAATAATCATGAAAAGGCATATTCCAGCATGTCACTGCATCCAGAGCCAGTGTGGTGCCCCTGCTGCCAGCACAAGAATCCTGAACCACTCACACCCACACAGGTACGGTAAGGATTTGTCTGCCGTAACTGCCTCTGATAACGGCGGCACCTCCTTCCATACACTTATCTTTTGCCTAGATTTTGCTGTAATTCCGTCAAGTCTCGGGGATCAGGAAGGGGACCAGTCTCACAAAACATTTCTATCAATGAGCCTGTTAATTTGGAAGTTTCACATACATATATCTCTGTGAACGCAGAGTAAATAACCTAGAGCACAGACACACAAGGGGAACTGAGTCTGGAGCTGAAAGAGCCTGCAGTATTTTGAGTGATCTATAAAAAGCCCGGGACTGCAATACAGGAGGTGCAGGCAAACGCTGTCTTTGCGTGTTTGTTTCACCATTGACCTACGGTTGCACGTGGGGAGTTAAGTTAGCAAGAAGCATAAAGTTAGCCGAAAGTGTTAAATAAGGGCAATGGAAATCTGAGAGCCAAGATTTCCATCCTTTTTTGAAGGTTCACAGGAGATCTCCCCGCTAGGAGCACAGCTGGGTCCCACACAGCAGCAGGCAGTGCCTGCTGAGGAGCTTGCGTCCCCTCCGGCCACACATGTCCCCCCTCACGGCAAGGAGGCACGAGGTACTTGCCTGACCCCATTCTCAGGTTAACAAATCATGAGCCAGCTTAATGCGTTCCACAAGAATAAAACTCTTCATCTTTTTACATCACTGCTGCAAGAACGCAGTTTTAAAGAGGAAACCTGGACCTGACCCAATGGTTTCAACTTGCCCTGCTAATGCAAGTTGTGCTGAATAGCTTCACCACGAGCTCTTTGCTCAGAGAGGCAGCTATCTGCAAAGAACATAACATTTTGGTAACCGAGATCCAGCAAACATGCCCAGAACAACCAAATAAAGTGTCGCATTCTTTACTCATTGGATGTTTTGCTTTTGCATCCCTCTGAGTAGGAAGATCAGGAAAATAAACTCCCTCCGAGTCTGCCTCACTGAATTAAATGTCTATGTCTCCACAGGGAGCACAGTAATTGCACTGAGACCTCACTCACGCAGAGGCAGTCGAATCAACAGGAAGGAAAAATTAAAAATTAAAGACCCGTATTTTAATTAAGCCCCATAGAAGTCAAGAATAATAACAGATGCATCCACAGCTATAGGGGACTCCAAGTGCAAGACGGGAGCTGGGGCAGGAAAACTCTAGCTCGCTACGCAGATATCATCTGTCCAGGTTAAAAGCTGTGAAGACATTGTTCCTAGAGAAAACATTTCATGACAGGAATGCTCTCCTCCGATGTCTGTAAGCCTCAATCAGCCAAAGGCTATCAGGAAGGAACCGGTCTCCGTTTTGTCACTGGACAGTTTCACCTCACCCAAGTTATTTCAGCATCTCAGGACAACAAGCAGCCTCCTACCCCAATGCTTTCAACCTCAACTTGGAGTGTTTTGTTCCGAGCTGACACTACACCCAAGTCAGTCCCAAAATAAATCGAAAGCCACTTGAAGGAGAAGTGGAGGGAGACAGCCGCCTACACACACACTTGCCCAGACAAACAAAGCCATTCTGCACATAGCTACAGGGCTGTCTGCGCAGGAGAGGCTGCAGCGAGAAGCCCTGCACAGCATTTTTCAGAGACAGCTGCTTAAGTAAAGTATGAACGCACACAGCACACGAACAACCAACTGCGCCAGCAGCTTCTTACGCCCAGGCAGGGAAGGACAGCACGTGGATGGACTTGTTGCCGCACTCACACGCTACAGGCAGGGCACTGTGTTGGCCTAGGAGAGTTCGCCTGGGGAGAAACGGGGGAGAAAAGCCGTCCTCTAATGCCACTGCAGGATCAGACTGGGCCCTCCAGGCAAGAGTATCAATGGTAGAAGCCACAGGAGGTTTGCTTCTTCACTTTCCAAAGCTTACGAGCTAATTCTCTCAAAACTATCTACTCTCAGTCCCACTCTCAGGTAAACTTCAAAGCAGGAACAAATTCGCTGAGGAGCCAGAGGTCAAGCACCCCAATTTCTGTCATGCCAGAAACGTAATCTGAGCAATTTGCAAAGAAGCATAATGGTCCTCTATTAGTCTCTGCTTACTTCTTTGTTCATACTTCCCAGCAAGCTAAG